TCTGAGCTCTTGTGGTGATATCCATCACAGGGGTACACCAGATTTTAATGTAGTGCCTTCTGAAGTGAACAAAGGTTCAGGTGTGGTTTTCAGTCTCTTTATGGACAGAGATTCCTCTGGTTTCCCTGAATCTTTGATGACATTATGCACTGTAGAGGGTGAAATACTTAGAAATCCTTGCAAGCACTCGCTGAGGAACATTCTTAAACTGTTGGATTATTTTACAGGTCCAAGATAATTTACAAATGATGTCTTGTATCTATTTAAATTTCTCCTCTGTTCCAATTTTTTTTTTCTTATACATTAGGATATATAAATATGAATATTGGAGATAATATCTAACCTTTCATACTTAGATTGAAATACTTCCGTTATTTATATGTTTAAATGTTTAACATTTTATTTATTATTCATTGGAACTCCCCCTGTTTCGTTTATGTCATCACATGTGCGATGAATTTTGGGCATCTCCACCAGCAAAAATTCTGCATTATCCCCCTTAAGGCTTAAATGAATGGCAGAATCAGACAGTCCTACAGCCCTAGGAAGTTACGAAGTGACCAGAAGCGTGGAGATTTTGACTGGGCATAAGCTTCCCTAACTACGTCAGTTTTGTAGGTCCAGTGCAAACCTGAAGAAACAAACTACAGACTCTAAAAATGTCTTGGCTCACCAACTATGTTTGGGGTCATACGCACTTGGTTTATAAACTGGCAAAACATGAAAAGAAAGTGAGCCTGACAGGAGTGTAAACAAACAGGGACTCTCCCTCAGGGAAGAGTTACTCTGGAAATAAGCATCATTTGCATGCTTTTTATTTTGTTCATTAGGAGGAAATACATCATTTGCATTTTAAGCCAGTGGTTATCAGTCGAGTCCATGGGCCTTTCCAACTAGTCCACATTTCTCAGCTCCAAACACAGCTCAGCCAGGTGAGCTTCCACGCTTGTTTATCTGACTCAGGAGCTGGAGCAGAACAAAAATAGGCTCAGGATCCCTGATGACTGGCTTCAGAATGGCTGATTTACAGTGATAATTCAGCCAGAAATCAAACTTATACAATTTCCCCTTTACCTGAACACGATCAGCCAAGACATGTTTGATGTCTGAAGTGTGCTTCTTTAATCTTGAACAGGAGATACAAGGCCAATGTAGCTAACAAGTAATGGAAGTTTATAGTCAATAGGTGAGTCCTGTGTACACTGCAATCCTAAAGCCTCATACATTCTTTCTTTAAACTGCTGATTAGTCTTAAGTAAACTTGCTTATGTAGCTTCTCACAGTGTCTGACTAAAGGCCAAATTATACCTCTGCATATCTGTCGTGCCAGCATTTTGTACATAACGCAAAGGTGTGCACTAGGCGGCAGTGTCCAAACCACAGGGAGGACTGACGCTCACTTTGTTGTTCTTGTCATGTTTTGAGGATGGGTTGTATAAATGTTTGTAACACTGCACCTCTTCTGCCAACTGTTCTTTTTTTAATTTTGTGCTAGTTCTGGTTTGTGTTGAGTGTTGTTTGGGTCTCATCCTACCCTTAATGCTACTGAATCCCTGCTGAAATCCAGCACAGACCAGCATGAATTCCCAGTGTGGTCACCAGCATCCAAAACACAACATATGCTGTTTTTGCTGGTTAACATCATAGCTTGCTTTGCTGCTGACCAGCATACCAGTATCCAAAACACAACACATGCTAGTTTGCTGGTGACCAGCCATGCTGGTCTATGCTGGTTTTTATAGCAGCAGGTTTTTCGCTTCACATTTGGCTCTGCAGATTCGCATAATGCATGGTTGAGTTCTTGTGGCTGTGCATGTCAAGGCCTCTGCAAGCCACTGCAAGCTATTCTTATATATAAACCCCTGCTGTGTGTCTCAACACAGATACATTCACATGCATCTTTCCAGAATTATAAATCAGGAATTATACTGGGATTTGGAATTGTGGACATCGGTATGAAACTAATTCAAGCTTCACAATGGCTGGTACTGTTTTTAGCATGTAGACATGCAATGCTAAACATGTGGCAATACGCTTTCATTATTTGTTAGCTGTATTAGCCTCATAGCTCCAGTACAAAACTAACGACACAAACTATGTACACCAAATGTGTCTTGTCTAAATGACTACATTGACTGACTTGGCACATTTTTGGCCAAACCACTATTTTAAAATAAACCTGTGAAACCGGTCCAGTTGACCCTGTAGACCTATGTGACTTTTAGCCCTATGATTTATCCCTGGAAATGGTGGTAGTGATCCATGTGCTCAGAAATGGCAGCATAAGATTAAACCTGTGTCACTTGCAGAGTTGGGCAAAACACTGTAATAGTAGTGATGGCTGAGTATGCTGTCCTTAATGTATTCACTGCACACTGTTCTCACTGTTACTGGTTGGCAATTTTCATCACAATTCTTCTGTCAGTATATTTTTAACTGAAAAATTGCTTGTTATTTAAATGAAGTTCTGTAATTCTCATCTTTTTTCTTTTCTCTGTTGTTGCCTGCTTCAGCCCACCGCTGCTCCCACAATCCTCTGAGCACAACACCCCAGTATAACACCCATGCTAAGCTTATCACTCGCAAACCACTACTGCGGAACTTATTAGTTTGATCATCCCTCAAAAGAGTTTATTTACACTGAGATTCATAACTGTCTCATCCTATTGGTTTATCAGTCTACTCAGGCTTTAGCAGGAGCTTCAGTGTTTGTAAAGAAGCTGTTAATTGAGGTCACAGTTCGTCCACTGATCATGTTTGTTACATGCTGTGCGCTGACTTTAAATAGTTAATAAGTGTTAATAAGTGTTTCTTTTGAAGAATGTTTTTTTTTTATTTAGTGGGTAAGTATTCTCCCCAAAAATGTAGAAATAACCATATTCTGAATACTGCCTTTGCAAAAGGTACTGAATACAGATACTTAATTTCTGTTTTCTGAATTCGTAACCCTGATCCCAACCCTGATCACATGACTGTAATAGTGTATGTGTGTCACAGTAAATGGCTTCCATTTGTGCTGCAGATCTAAAAGTGTCCCATCTCTCTCTCTCTCTCTCTCTCTCTCTCTCTCTCTCTCTCTCTCTCTCTCTCTCTCTCTCTCCCTCTCTCTCTCTGATGAAAGGGTAGTGTAGAGGGGTAGAGGGCAGTAATTACAGCTGTTCTACAGGGCTGTGGAGAGCCACGAGTAAGGACACACCACTGCTTGTTCTACTATGCAGGACTACACTACCATCAGCACTGGGATACTAAAAAAGAAACACAACAGCAGTATGTCAGGGTAGATTCCTAAGTAAAGTGACATTTTTGTTAAGACATATTTTTGAAGACACATAACTACATGACCGGCTATATTAAGTATTAGTATATATATATATATATATATATATATATAGTAGTGTTATATTTTACAACATATTCTATAAAATATATTCTTAAAATATTTTTTGGTCACATTTGGTCAATTTGATGTGGAGAGAAAATAAAGGGGAGTATCTTACCCTGCAAGCTTTTTTCCCCCAAGTGCCCCTACCTCTATGTGGCTTCCACCAAAGGGAAATCCACCATTTTTAAAAATATTCTACATAATTAAATGGTTGAGATGTAAACATCACCATTCAGAGTCGTTTGGTGTTAAATGCTCCATTGTAGAAAAACCTGCTGAGTCAGAATTGTTCACATTGGTGGTGGTTGGAACCACACCACCATAGGAGCCATTATCAAAAGGACATGTGTAGGTTCACTGGTGCTTTTGGATGGTTAATAAAATGGCTATATTTATGTTGTAGAAATCAGTACCCCTGGTTCCCAACACCACCACTGTAAAGAAATCTGAGTGTGTAAGTTTCTCTACAATGAACCACTTCACATCAAACCACTCTGAATTACTCTGTTTACATCCCAAGAACTGAATTATTAAATAGTCATTGTGAATATATTAAGTACATAATGATATTAAGCATATTGATTTAATTGTGTTATTATTAGTATTTTCCTTATTGTTATGATTATGATTATTATTAATAATAATAACTAATCGTAATAATCATAATAATGTTATTGTCAGTGGTTATAGTAGTAGTAGTAGTGTTGCAGCAATAACAACAGTGTAAACAAAGCAATAACATTCAACTTTAACAGGTAAATGCAAATTAATATAATTCCGCTATCCACAATAAACCTCAGTCAGAGTGGTCATTCGTTAAACGTGTTGAGTTTACATTAGGTCAATTTCATCTGGAGAGAGAATAAGGGGAGGGGAGGATCTTACCCTGCTGGATTCTTTCTCCAAGTCCCCCTACCTCTGTGTGGCTTTGAGAATTTGGGATAAACTCTTCAAAAAAGGTAATAAACAATGACAAACAGTTCAATAAAAACTACTGGCAGTGTAGAAATTATTTTCATCGCCCCAAAAGGTCTACTATTTAAAGTGTATTACGAATTGTTTAGGAAAAGCACAGAATGGTGGGTTTGTTTATTTTTACTGTAAATTAGCTGGATTACTAGCTCAGGGATCTCAGCATCCAAGTTCAGGAGCCTGGCTGATGTGAAACAGATCGCCACACCAAGCTGACACCCAAAAGCCACCGAAAGCGGACTGTTATAATTCAAACTTTCCAAAATAAGGACGCTTCCTCTCACAGCCTCAGCGGGCTGCTGTGCTAGCATGTCAAGAGCTCGGCGGAAACGCACGTGGCGGCGTTGCGTAGGCAACACTGCAAGACTGCGTTATTTTTTCTCCACCCGCATTCCAAACGCCCCGCCCTCTGCGCTAGGATTGGCTAGTAGGCCAAACTCAGCGTGCGTAGAAGAGTGGGAATGAGTTAGTAGCCAATCCCAGCGCAGATGGCTGTATATTATTAGCCAATCGCTGTGCAGGGGGCGGGTTTTTTAGGAATACCGGTGGGGAAAAAAACGTCGGTCGCCAGATTGCGTTTGGGCGTACCGCGCAGGCGCACTGCAGCTCCGCCTTTTTCAGGGCAGTGCTGCAGGCGGACCGCAGAGAGCCAGCGTGATTTGGGATGAGGGGGGGCGCAGCCTACTGTCTGAAACTTACAGGAGAGGAAAAACCACTAAAATGACAGACGGCAACGATTTTATCGCACACATCTCTCAGCCACCCGCCCTGACATCCTTAACCGCGGCCCTGTGAGGACTTTGCGGGTCAAACTGAAGATCGATGAAGCCAACAGCAACCTGAGGATAATGCCAGAGAACGGATGAGAACTACTGCAGCTGGGCTGAGCAGCGCTGGAGAAAAGACAGAATGGCTTTTATCGTCAGACCAGAGCTCCGAGCCGAGCGTGTGCCGGACGTTTAAGAGGTTTAAGAGTCCCCGGTGATCCTCGAGCCCGCCAAGTGCTCCGTTATCTCCGTTATTCGGCAGTGAGGTTTTGGCGCATTGGAGCTCCGGCCGCTGGAATGTCAGCCGCTGCATAGCGGAGGGCGAGAGAACATGGGAGAGGCGGCCGAGGCCAGAGAGGCCAAGGAGGCCAGGAAGACCTTCATCGTCCCGGCCATCAAATCCTTCGACCACTATGACTTCGCAAGGGCTAAAATATCGTGCAGTTTGACGTGGCTCGTGGCCAAAGCCTTTGGGTCAGGTAGGGGGCGTCTTTTCACCCGTTTACAGACACTGGCAGCGAAGAAACATCACGTTCGGCAGAAAGAAACGGGCAAAAAATGAATATTGTGTAGTTGTCACGATGTTAGAATAAAGCTAACGTGGCTGTGTTTCCTGGTTACTGCGGTGCCTCAGAAAATCTGTCAGTAATAAAAAGTAACGTGAAACCATTCCGGCGTCATTGCTGCTTAAAATGAATCACAAGAGGGGAAAATGGAAAAAATGATAGCCTCCAGCGTCCCTCAGTGCGGTTAGTTTAACAGATTAGCATAGTAGTGTACAAACTGTTGCGCTTTTCCTTTGAAATTTGGGGAAGAGGAGATTCCAGCAGGGTAAGCTGTCCTGAGGCGGGAGAAAAGAAAACAGCCTCATTTTAGAGCCTCTACACGCTTTTAAACACCGAAATCAATTTTGACGACTCAGTCTGCTCATAAAACCTGAATTGATAGGTAATTCGTGGAACATTCAAAAAACTATTAATACAGGTACTGTGTGTCTGTCTGAAATGGCTAAGCGAGCAGAGGCCCATGGTTAAAGACACATGCCTGCTGTAACTAGTTGTATCATTCTTGGGCTTGTCTTTGTCAGACTTTGCAAAGGGAGATTATTACTCACTGTTAGATACAGTTACGCCTGGAAACCACATAAACTCTGCATATAAACCTTAAGAAGTCAGTGTGCCACTCATTCCAACATCCACTCATTTTGAACCTCTTCTGGTTTCAGACAGGCTAAACTTAGTGCTGTTAACTACGGGAAGATAACTGTGTTTGGACCCAACACAGACAGTGTGTTTCAGAGAGATGGACCCAACACAGACAGTGTGTTTCAAAACCCAGCTACTGTGACAGACTATTGAAACAACAGTACTGTTGTGGAGAAGCACACTTGTAGAAGATGAACTTAGACGTTTGTCCCTTTTCATCGACCCCTTTGTTTCCTCACCTCTTGTCTGTGTCAGTGCTTTGGAGGTAGGGCTGAAAGATTCATCGCTTTTATATCGAAATCACAGTTTAAGACAATTTTCAAATCGCAAGAGCTGCAGTTTTTTTAAATTAAAGCCTACACTTTTAAGAAAAGATCATCAAGGCTCTTAAAAACATGGTTCTTCAGTAAAGACAGTGGTATAGATATATATATATATATAGAACCATAAACACTAAAAGACCCATTTTCATGCTTAAATGGTTCTTTGCATGGTGAAATAGTTCCTCAGAATGATGGAGAATGTGTTGTATATGGCTCTATATGGCACCAACAAAGGATCTGCTATTGTTACGATGTCAGGCTTGTAACAATAGAAGAACTTTTTGGTGCTATATAGAACACTTTTCAAAAGGTGCTGTATAGAACCATATGCAGCACATTCTCCATAAATCAAATTCCTAATCATCTGTTAAATCTAACCATTTCACCATGCAAAGAACTTTTTAAGCATGTACATGGGTTGTGGAGTGTTTATGGTTCTGTATAGAACCATTGTCTTTACTAAAGAACCCTTGAAGAACCATCGTTTTTAAGTGTATACATTAGCAAAAACGTTGAGGTTTCAAGAGGGGAAACTGAACCTAATAAGAGCTTGTGAAATGCCTGTAGATAAGTTAGACCAATCAGAAGCAACCAAACCTCCATGTGTTGTGACATCACAACCACAGCTTACTGGCAGTTTGGCACACTACGTTCAGGGGTCAAGCCTCAAGCCAAAAAAGTGCTTATTCTGGTCTTCTTGGCCAAAATAAATCAGGCCTGAATCTCAATTTATAAAATGTCACAATTTAAATTGCAGTTGCAATATTAGTTGGAATAATTGCAATTAGACATTTTCCCTAAATTGTTCAGCCCTACTTGGGATTAATTGTTTTTATAACGAAATCACAAGTAAAGTAAAGCATGTGTGGGGGCAGAGGGTCTCCAGTACTTCTCTCCATTAATGAGCATAGTGAATATTTTCTTTACGCTTTCTTGGCTGCACTGACCTCTGCAGTGCACATTGACTTGATTTACCGCTTTCTTTCGTCCTCAGGCTGTGAGATGCAAAAGCCTGACCCGATGTAGAATCCTTGATGCTCTTCTCCCTGAATGTGGAGCCGTATGCTACACTGCTGTCATTAAGTATGTGTCATAACCTATCCATGCTCTGCACACAAACATTGCAAGGTTGGACAGCTTTTACAGAACGTTGGCAAAAATGGAAAATTATAACTCAGTTTTTGTCAAAATACATAAACTGTTCACATCATACCACTACAGTGTTTGTTCAGAATTTCTATAAATGGGTTAATGAGTGGCACAATCATCCATGTGTTGGCCCCATCATTGTGAGTTTGCGATTTTGATCCGTGCAGATGTCACAGCCATCTGTGGCCGGGTGTCCGAAAGAGCATGACTGGCCTCTCTCTAGGTGGGGAGGATGGCCTCCCCATCATACAGCGCGAGCGGGCGTCTTTTACCTGGCGTAACGTGATTAGCAGTTTGCATTCTCCTCTGAGTGCACTGGTTACTTTGAGCTCCTACACCCATGTTATATTAACAGCAGCCCAAAAAGATGTGGTGGCTTCATGAATCTTGGAGGACGTCCCAGGCTTTGAGCATTGTGTGATTGGAGGGGACCTAGCCAGCAGGTGAAATTATTAATGACTACATTTGGGAGAAACTTGTGTAAGATTTGCTACACGTTGAGTTTCCAGTTTAAAATACTATGCTATTGAGCTGAACTGTGTTGTTGTGAATTGACAGCAATGAATGTTCCACAGTGCTAACCTTAGCTCAATTACACAACAAACACCAGAGTTATCCTAGCTGTGTGACCTTTCACATGCATGCAAATATCAAGTTAATAATGTACTCCAAAAACTCAGAGTGGTGTGCTACAATTTCTGGTTAGGTTGAATGTTTGAAAATGTAGTATATTGCTAGTCAAACTTTGCAGCAGTTGCTCCTAAAGAATGCATTTAGGAGCATGTGTAAGTCAATTAGTGTTCAAATGAGGCTCTCCTATCTTCTCCCTATGAAAATCTATTGATGCTCTATCTTCAGTGTCTTCTAAAATCCTTAGCATGATAACAGGATAGAATTTTCCAGAACAGGCCTCAGTGGTGGATGTTGGATTTAAGACACACACACAGTGATGTGGCTTCTTGTGGTGAAGCAGCCCAACTCACCACAACAGAGAGTCCCTATGGAGTGTGCTATAACAGGAAGGCCTCTGGCGGCTGTGTCTGTGCGTGAGGTCATTACAGGGACTGCCTGTTTTTCCTATCAGACTCTGTATTTGGGTCATACAGTATGGGCTTACTTAAATTTTCATTGCACAGAGTGACTTTTCATCTCTCTGCTTTGAGCTCCTACACCCACTGTGGATCTTAGCATTGCTTAATAGATCTGCAAGATGTGAGCCAATTATTTGTGGCAGTGAAGCTTAAACAGCTGGTGTGTGGCTGCTTATATATCACGACTGTGCGTTGTAAGCCGCTGATCAGTGGTGTGTGAATCAGAGGGGCTGTTAAGAACTGAGGTGATAATGTTTTTTTCTTAAGCGTAAATATTGAATATTGACTTTGATCATCATGAGATAATAGTTTTGACTGAAACAGGACAGAATTGATGTCTGTAGGAAGATTTGTTCATGGTATTTCTCACTAAAGCACTGTTTGGACAGGAGAAGGTGGTAGTGGCAACTTAAATCAGTGTTTCTTAGTGATTTTAGTTCATCTGAATCCACAATGTCAGTGATTTTTATGGGCTTTGCGCTAGGTTCTGGCACCTTTTACCTTTTATAAAACGCACCACAGAAATAACCATAGATTAATTATTATTCCTTGCAAATTGACATGTAAAAATGCTGTGTTATTCTGTGAAAAAGGAGAAACATTTGATTTTATGCAGTGATGCTGACTGTTGGCTGTGAATTCCCAAGCTAATGACAATACTGATTACACAGTGCGTTCACTTACGACAATGTGACAGATTAGGTTGTGGTAAATGAAATTATGGTCTAAATTAAATGTTTTCTACTTGTCACTGGCATAAAGAAACAGCACAAATCCAGTGGTCATTCCCATCTCTGACATTTATACTGAGATTTCTTATACCGTGTGAATCATAAACATTATATTACAAATATTACAAACATATCCCACCTCCCTATGCAAAGCTAATCCTGTCTGAATAGTATTTAAGGCTGTAGGTTTTAAGTTTTATCCTAGAATAAACTGTCACTGTCATCATAAAACCTCATAACTCATAATTATTTTGTTTTTCATTTCCATCTGAAATACAATTTACAATGCCAGCTGCGATTAGACAAAGAATGGACCAATAAAAATGGTCAAAAAAATCTACTTTAAAATGACTTGTATGGATGTGCATTCCGACTCATTTTCATATTTGAGTATCCGTGAGGATTAATAAGTAATCAGTTAACTGCTGGGAAGGAAAAAGCAGCGCAAACTAAGAGACATAAAGGGCTGTAGTCTTACCTTTTTAGATTAGCACTGGTGTTGCACAAACATTTAATAGCACACAGAAGTATATATTTTAAAACATTTAAGTATTTAAAAATAGGGAAATTATGATTTCATGTAGGATGAGTAATAGATGATGCCTTGGATGAGCTAATGGGCTAAAACTTCAACTAACTAGTGCAATGCTGGATGCTGATGAGGACTCATTGTGTTTTTACTGGTAGATGTGCCAACATGCTCGGCAGAGAAATATATTTTTGCTGTTTTTGGGGCGTAGCTAACATCAGCTAGAGTAGTTAGCTTAGTTAGTGATAAAAACTGCATTATCTCAGCTTTCTCAGTCTCTTTCTTAACAGCGTATTCTTGGTAATGTGCCTGTGTTAAGGCACTAATGTTTTGCAGTAGTAAAGCTCATTTGACAGTCAATTAAAATTGGCATTTCACTGAAGATGTACATTTTCTTTGTGTTCCCATGATGAAACATAACAAATAACTGAATAGTGATTTCAGTTTTCTA